GGGCCCCGGGGGCGGGGGGGGGGCATGCCCATCTCAGAGGGCGGCCCGGGTCAGGGACGTGCTCCGGGCTCAGCAAAGCCACCACCATCCTCAGGGTTGGGTTGGGGGGTGGGGGGAGCCTTCGCACTGAGATGTCCGGCAGGGCGTGGGGGCATTTGAGACACAGCCAAGCAGAAAACACACGACCTTTAAAGCCATGACAGTCATGGCTTAGAAACATTCCTGAAGCCCAAGTTCATGCTGGTGCGCCGGACCCAGGGTCCCCGCTGGAGCCTGGGTCTCCCCGCTTCTCGAATGTGGCTGATGCGGGAGTGGTCGCTGGGGGCGTGGAAGGGGGCAGCTCATGGGTAACTGGCCAGGCGTTCTCTGTGCCCGGTGCCAGGTCACCGCGGAGGCCTCCACTCAGCAGGTCTCAGGAGACACAGCGGGACGACCGGGGGTGCGGCTGCCGTTAGAGAAGCTGTCACCACGGGCAGGCAGCATGGAGGTTATAGAGAAACAAGGATGAAAGCGGAAACGGCCCCCTGACTAGGCCTTTGGAGGTGGAAACTTCTCAGAGAAACTTCTAGAACCAGGGCTGGGGCCAGAGACAGGAAAGGACCGCTACCGCCCCCCCCCCCCCCACCACCACCACCACACACACCCCTCAACCTTCCAGATTCGCAGGGCAGGGAGGCCATGGCTGGCTCGTCTCAGGTCAGCCAGGCCTGTCACTCAGCAGCCAACCGTCTGTCTGTCTGTCTGTCCCAGGCTCCTGCCCTCCAACGCCCTACTCCTCCCCGCCCCCGGCCCCCAGGACGCAGCCCAGTTTGAGTGTGTGGTGAGCAATGAGGTGGGCGAGGCCCGCAGGCGGTACCAGGTGACCATCCACGGTGAGTTGGGGCGGGGGCACGGGCCACCTCCTCCGGGAGGCCCTCCCGGATCCCACCCTGCCCACACTGACATAACCCCAGCTCCAGCACAGTCCCTGGCACGTGTGAGCTCGCAGGAGACACCTCTTCTGATCCAAAATGTTCTAAACCCAAATGTTACCTCGTCATCACCTTGGTTAAAATCCCCCCCTCCACTGCCCCCTGTCCTCATAGAATTCGAGGTGTCACCCTGGCCCCCGAGGCCACTGACTCCTCCCCAGGTTATGCTCGCCCCATGGCCGGCCTCATTCTGGGACCCAGTCTGCTGGGTGGCTTTCTGTTCCTCACCCCTGGGCCTTCACACTGCTGTTCCCTCTGCCGTGAGCACTGTTCCCTTCGCCCTTCACCCAGCCGACACCTGCTGCTCCAGGCTCAGGTTAAATGCCACGCCCCCTGCTCTGAGCTGCCACCAGCTCCCGGCTCCCCGAGGTGCCTGGCTGGTGTCTCTATAGAAAGCAGTTCATAACCATCCCTGTGCCGTCGAAACATTGGTCCTGGGTGAGCGAGTGTGACCCCTCTCTGCTGCCCTCCCTCTGTGGCCCTTCGTCACTCATCTCACCATGGGTCCTAGTCTCTGTTCATGGCTTCCCTCCACCTGGCCGCGCCGTGTGCTCCCCGGGACCGCGGCGGGGCCTCAAGCCTGCGCTTGGGTTTCAGTGCCCCCCACCATCGCCGACGACCAGACGGACTTCACTGTGACCCAGATGGCCCCCGTGGTCCTCACGTGCCACAGCTCCGGCGTGCCAGCCCCCGTGGTGTCCTGGAGCAAGGCAGGGACTCCCCTGGGGGCCCGGGGGAGTGGCTACCATGTCTCACCTTCGGGTAAGCAAGGGGGACCCCAGGGAAGCTGCTGCTGAGGGGAGGCAGGGACCTGGGCAGAGAGTGTGATAGCAGCCCCTGGGGCCGTGTTGGGGAGCCTGGCTCTGCCATTCCCTTGCTGTGTGACCTGGGAGAAACCCCTTGCCCTCTCTGGGCCCCAGTCTCCCATTCTGCGCACTAGGGTGCTGCTGTCCTGCAGTGGCTCTCTGATGACAGTTGGCCAACGAGTGCTGCTTCGTGGCAAAGCGACGTCACCCGTAGCGATGAGCGTTTGCGTGCAGCCAGCTTGATCTCCTTAGCGAGCGTGTAAACAGAGGAGACATGCGGCCCGCCGGCCACGTGTTTGACATGCTTGCCTTAGAGCGCTGTCCTTTATGCAGAAATTGTGCTTCTCTTAGCTTTTCTTTCTTCTACGGAATTAGGGTGATTGCAGATGGTGACTTATAAAATGTTTATTTATCAAAAAAGAAAAGTTGGCAACTTTATGGGGATTGAAGTGAAATGTACTTGCTGGTTAGTTGGTGAAATCCTCAAGTCAGAACCGCTGGCCGGGTCTGTGGCTTTCAAGCTCTCCCGGAGCCCCAGAGGCCCCCTTAGGCAGCGGTCAGGGGAAGCCGGTCAGGGGAAGCTGGCCTGTGGGACAGCCGCGGTGCCTGGGAGCGGGGCCGGGGGAGCTGGGCGTCCTCTTCCCCCGCTCACCCCGCGAGCAGGCTCTCAGGGCTCCGTGCGACACAGAAACCACTTCACATAACTGCTCGGGCAGCCTGTGGTCTCAGGAGGGTGAACTGTTCTTTGAGAAGCCCAGGCTAAAGGAGGGAGGACAGGGGAGGCGGCAATCCGGGGCACTTCCTGGAGGAGGCAAGTGCTGGGGCCTGGGGAGCTGAGGGTGGCCAGGGATTCCAGGCGGGCAGTGGCTGATCCTGGGACATCACAGCCAGAGGGTCTAGAGGCCGTCCTGTCTGATGCCTCATTGCACACGTGGGGAAACTGAGGCCCTGAGAGGGGAAGGGACTTGCCCACAGCTAGGCTTCGGGCAGGAGCAGAGGCAGGCGTGGACCCAGGTGCCCCCAGGCTGCTTACCTGTGGGCAGAGGCAGGCCGACGGGCCGGGACCAGAGACACTGGGTCGGGGTATGGAAGACGGGCTGCCTCCATCGCTGAGGACTTGTCTCCAGAACCCTCACCTCTGCGCGCCCCCTTCCGCCTCCAGGCGCCCTGGAGATCGGGCAGGCCCTCCCTGTCCACGCAGGCCGCTACACCTGCACGGCCCAGAACTCCGCAGGCGTGGCCCGCAAGCACGTGGCGCTGACCGTGCAAGGTAGGGGGCCCAGTCCTTTGGCTCAGAGAGCTGTTGCCCTGGGGGCAGGGGAGCAGGTAAAGAGCGAGAAGCAGCTGGTGCTGGGGCTGGGGCTG